CAGGGCTCAGGGGTTTAGGGTTTAGGGGTTGTGGGGTTTGGGGGTTCAGGGTTGGTACAGGGTTTTGTGTTTAGTGTTGAGGGTTTAGGGTTTTTTTCATGGTCCGCTGTTCACGTTTTGCGTTCTTCTGATCAGGAGTCATGCCTTCACTTAAACCCCAACAGTCCCAACACCCTCTAAAGTCCTAAGCCGCAAGCGGTATAGGGGTTTTCTTGGAGGGTTTCTGGAGGGGGCTTTGGGAGTCGGCCTTATTCCGAAGTGAGGGTTCGAACCCTCAAAACCCTCAACACTGACGCCCTCAAGCCGGTCTTCCGAGATCCCCCGGTGAGACCTCCCCGTCTTTTCGCCAGGCACACCAAGGAGTTGGCGCAAACGGTGGTGGACGCAGGTCCACCTGTTGAGGGTTTGGAGGGTTCAGGGCTCTCCGAGCCTCAGGGTTTCGGAGGGTTGGGGAACAGTATGATGATGTTTGGCAGGCCACCAGGCCAAGCAGGTTTTGTGTTTAGTTTCGGGTGTGAGTCGCAGAGTGGCTTTGTGCTCATAGCGAAGGCGTGACCTTTCTGTCTCGTTTGCTTGCTCGCTCGTTCTCATTTTGATTGTTCACCCTCCCTCTCATTCATTCATGTACTCGTATCTTTCTTTCTTTTATCTCTCCTTCTCTTCTCTTTCTTCGCTTTTCACGCCAGGTGCTGTAACGGCCAGATGGATCCGCATTCCGAATCAACATGTTCTCCATGCGTTCCGCTGCTCCACGTGGCTCACAGGTGGCGGGCAAGCTCCCACTCCCTAGTTCCCCTCATGCCCCCCCCCCCCCATAGCCAAATTCTGACTCAGGCTGTGCTAGGATGTTTCTGATACTTACGGGTACCTTACTTAGGGGGTTGCTAGAGCAAGGGCTTCTGCATTTTGGGGTGCAGAAGGGGTACGCTTATGTAAGGGAAGTTCAGGAAGGCACTGAGGAGACCTCTCTAGAGGAAAGGGCTTGCAGGGGATTCACTCCTACCACGCAGGCCCCCCACACACACCTCCGAGCGATACCGAGTGATCAGCTTGATCTTTGGAAAGGTCTATGGCCCCAATATATCATGATACGCAAAACTATGCCAAACGCCATGCTTCGATTTGTAGGGCCCCATACCAGAGGGAGCCGTTCCCAACGACTGGGTTTGTCTCGAGTACCGGAGCCATGGTGGACATAGACCTGTCCGAGGAGGATCTCAAGGCGACCATCCAGCTGAAGCAGTTGATTGTTTGGATTTGGGCGTTTGGGGTTCAGGGTTTCGGCTTCGGGTCCAGCGATTCAGGGCTTAGGGTTCAATCTTAAAGTTCAGGGTTCTGACGAGCTTTCACGGGCACGCCCGGGTACGCCATCTGCTGCACTCGCGGCCGCCGTGTCTATAAGAGGTCTCCAACTCCTGCCCTTAGCCCAGTAGCCCGACGTGTACAAAAAAGGTGGCTCAACAGCTCTACAAGAAGCTTCCAGGATGCCAAGCCACCTAACCCGATCCGAGTCCTGAAGCCCCGAACTCTAAATTCGGAAGCGAAACCAGGTGGCCCCAAGCCCCACACTCCTTCCGTCACATCACTAAGCCAGCTCGCCCTAAGACCCTCAGCCCATGAGCCCGATAAACCCTAAACCCCTAACCTCCCAAACCCCTATAAGCCCCGTAAACCCTAAACCCAAAAACCTAAACCCTAAGCCCCTAAACCCCTAAACCCCTGAACCCCTAAACCCCTAAACCCCTAAACCCCTGAACCCCTGAACCCTAAACCCTAAACCCCTAAACCCTAAACCCGACCCAAAACCAGGCGGCCCTGGGCCGGCGTATCGCCGAGCAGGGGTGGCCCCTCCCCGGCACGGCTGCGGGCCTCAATGGGGTAGGGTTTAGGGTTTAGGGTTTAGGGTTTAGGGTTTAGGGTTTAGGGTTTAGGGTTTAGGGTTTAGGGTTTAGGGTTTAGGGAATAGGGTTTAGGGTTTAGGGAATAGGGTTTAGGGTTTAGGGAATAGGGTTCAGGGTTCAGGGGTTTAGGGGTTTAGGGGTTTAGGGGTTTAGGGGTTTAGGGGTTTAGGGTTTAGGGAATAGGGTTTAGGGTTTAGGGAATAGGGTTTAGGGTTCAGGGTTTAGGGGTTTAGGGGTTTAGGGGTTTAGGGATTTAGGGGTTTAGGGGTTTAGGGTTAGGGGGTTCGGTGCTTTTGTTCCCCTTCATCAGACCTTTTCGGTTTGCCAGCTTCCAGTTTAGGTTTCGGGTTCTAGGGCTCAGGGTTTCGGGCTCCTGGTTGAGGGTTTCGGGTTTCTGGGTAAGGGTTTGGGGTTTCTAGGGTCTAGGGTTCAGGGCTTGAATTTGGGGAGTTTCCTGGGGCGTGCGTGGTTCAAGTGTGGGTCTGGCTCGTGGCTCTGGCCTGGGAAGTCAAGCACCCGTGACTCACATCCCAGAAGTGATCTCCATCCATCAGAATTTGGACCAACCCCAAACATCCCGAAGACCTGAACCTCTAAGCAGTCGAAACCCCCTAAGCCCTAGGCCGTATCCCTTGACACCCTGCAACCCTAAGCCCCGGAGCCCCCATAAGGATCCTTCAAAGCCATAAAGAACGCCGAGGTCCTCACGCTGGCGGCAGATTGGGATGGGCCCAACATCCTGGGCAGCGAGGAGTTCCTGAGCCTGAAGGCCCCCCCCTGCTTTTCGGGCTATACGAACTCGACATCCCGACCCCCCACCCCCCTCTCCCCGAATCCGCCCATCTTTCGGTGCAAGCGCGTGAATCCCAGCCCGCCAACGCCTCGACGCCCCAAAGCCTGCTTACACTGAAGGCCCTTAAAACTGAAGGCCCTGAACCAAGTTGGCATCCCTGCGTCCTGAGGCTGGCGAACAAGTGAAAGTCAATGCTGGCGGCTTAGGTTCAGGGGTCAGAGTTTGGTATTAGGAAAGTTGGGGATTTAGGGGCTAGGGGTTTAAGGTTTCTGGTACGAGAGTAGTCGTTGACCCTTCCGGTGCTTCGAGTCGGAAGTTCAAAGCATCTACTGCGGGGGTTTAGGGTTCAGGGAGTTCAGGGTTCAGAGCTGCCATTCCAAGGGGGTTGAGGGTAGGAGAACTTGGCTTGAGGGTTTTACGATTGGGGGCTGATTTTGCCTTCATCTGAGGAATTGTCCCCTGGCGGCGCCTTTCTTCACGGCTCGGCAGCGGCCCCAGCAAAGCCAGACTCCCCCCTGACCCCTTAAACCTCAACCCGAGCCTCCTCAAGCCGGAGCTTGAACCTCAAACCATGAGCCCTAAACCCGCTTATACACCCTTAAGCCCTATAAACCCTATACAACCCAATGCAAACCTAAAAAGCCCCCGTAATGTAAGAGCCCGAACCGAAACCTCCCCCCCCCCCACCAAAGTCCAGATCGAGGTGGTCGGCGCTCGCAGCCTGACTCGGTCAGGATGGTTTGGCGGCCCTGGCTGCGAGGCCAAGATTTTGGGGGAGGTTTAGCAGTCAGTCTTAAGGTTTAGGGTTGTTTTGGGGTTCTTATGGAAAACGATGCGGATGCTATATGGTCCATGCTGGTTGCCAGGTTGCCTTCTCCTCAAGGTTTGCGTGAGCTAGCCTTCACATGCTTGTGAGCACTCTAGGGGGCTGAATAGTTTGGGGCCTTAGTGGCATGGGTTGCGACAGTTCGAGAATCCCGAGCCCACCGTGCCTCCGAAGGCTGTGAAGTCGGTGTCCATCGGAGTTCCCCTGGGCAACGGCTCCGATGAGGAACTGCCCCTGAGGGGAGGAGGCCTGCCGAGTGGTAGGGTTTGGGGTCTAGGGTTTGGGGTTTAGGGTTCAGGGTTTAGGGTCGCTAACAACCCCTGAGGGGAGGAGGCCTGCTGAGTCGGGAGCAGATGTTCAGTATCAGGGGATCGATCTTGCAGAGTCTAGAGGGAACAGAGGGGCCCTAGAAAGCCTAAACCCTAAACCCTAAACCCCTAAACCCTAAACCCTAAACCCTAAACCCTAAACCCTAAACCCTAAACCCTAAACCCTAAACCCTAAACCCTAGACCCTAGACCCTAACCCCTAAACCCTAAACCCTAAACCCCACCCCTAACCCCTAACCCCTAAACCCTAAACCCTAAAAACTAAAAACCCCAAACCCTAAACCCTAAACCCTAAAAACCCCAAACCCTAAACCCTTAACCCCTAACCCTTAACCCCTAACCCCTAAACCCTAAACCCTAAACCCTAAACCCTAAACCCTAAACCCTAAACCCCAAACCCCAAACCCCAAACCCTACACTCAATTAACCCTAAACCCTAAGCCCCCCTAAAGCCGTCTGCCCTTGGCCAGGCAAGGCCGGCTCAGGCGGCGGCTTCAACGGGCAGTCCGGCTCTCTTCAAGATGAGGTCGAGGCGACCACACCTCAGCTCTAGACCCTAAACCCTAAACCCTAAACCCTAAACCCTAAACCCTAAACCCTAAACCCTAAACCCTAAACCCTAAACCCTAAAGGGGAGCTACTTGTTGGATCCTCCCAGGGGGGGTCTGGGTCTGAACAGGCCTACGTGGAGCGGAACTGCGTGGACGTCCCAGCTGCCACGCGACTCAGGGAGTTGCCACCGGAGCTGCAGGTGCCAGGGGTAGGGTTGAGGGTTTAGGGTTTAGGGTTTAGGGTTTAGGGTTTAGGGTTTAGGGTTTAGGGTTTAGGGTTTAGGGCTTTATGGTTGAGCGTTGAGGGTTTAGAGTTTAGGGTTTGGGTTTTGGGGTTTCGGGATGTAGGATTCGGCGATGTAGGGGTTGCGGAGTGTGGGATTTGGGTATTGAGGGATTTAGGCGTCAAGGATTTAGGGTTAGGGATTGATGTGTTAGGGGTGTAGTGTGTAGGCTTTAGGCTTCAGGACGCTGACCTTTACTACCCCTCGTTGGGGTTGAGGGTTTTGGGCTTCAAGGCACCCCTTACTGGGGGGATGGGGGGGGGCAGGGGGCGGGTTTGGTCATGGCCAATATTCAACTTGAACAAGCCCAGGCCATCTTGTAAACTGATCGGTAGACATCTTCCAATTTCAACACATGTATCTTCCGTCAACCGCCAACACCCCCGAGCCCAAGGATCATCCCGAAACCCTTAACCCTACACCCTAAACCCTAAACCCTAGACCCTAGACCCTGAACCCTAAACCCCGAAGCCCCCAAACCCCCAAGCCCCGGACCCAAAACCCTAAACCCTAAGCCCTGGGCCCTAAGCCCTCAGCCCTGAGCCCTAAGCCCCATATCAGTCTCAGCCTCACCTGCTTTGAGGCAGAGCTCATTAAATCCGACATGACGAAGAGCATCCGCAACCCGTCTGCGGCGGGGGCCCTAGGATTCACCCCTGCCCCCCTAAACCCGCAGGTTTAGGGTTTCAGGGCTTTAGGGTTTGGGTGTTTGGGTTTAGAAATTTGTTTTTTTTGCGGGTTTAGGGTTTCCGGGTGTTGAGGGCATTTTGGGGTCTAGGGGGAGGTGAAGGCCTTTGTGGCAGAGTCCGATGGGATGTCGGCCAGGCGTTGCTGAGTCGCATCAATCACCTCGTGAAGGCCGGCGGGAAGGGTCCCCAAGGGCTCCAGGTTCAGCGTTTGGGGCTTAGGGGTTTAGGGTGTAGGGTTCAGGGGTTTAGGGTTTAGGGTGCAAAGTTTGGGGTTTAGGGAATTTGGGTTTTGGGGGTTTAGGGGTTTGGGGGTTCAGGGCATAGACGCTGAACCCTAAGGAGCAGGCATGGACATTGGACAGAGCAGAACAGAACATCCCAAACCTACAATCCTCGTCTCCCCGAGTCTCGACATTCTGCCCAAAACTCTCGACAACCTTGAACCAAAGCCATGATGAGACACTAAAGTCTCACATCTCTGCGGCCCGAAAACCATGAACCCCCAAAAGAACCCGGGACTAACCCTTGCAATCCCCTAGACCCTCTAAACCCTGTAGACCTAAACCCTAAACCTTAAAGCCTACACCCTCAACCCCAAGTCCCAAATCTTGCGCTAAGGCTCCAAAACGCCTTGAACCCTAAACCCTAAACCCTAAACCCTAAACCCTAAACCCTAAACCCTAAACGCTAAACCCTAAACCCTAAACTCTGAACAGCTTGGAGACCAGGAGGCGCAGTTCAACGAGCCTCCACCACAGGTCGTGTCCCGGGCCGAGGCGCGGGTCTTGTTTTGCTTTGTGTTGTTTTGTGTTGTTTTGTGTTGTTTTGTGTTGTTTTGTGTTGTTTTGTGTTGTTTTGTGTTGTTTTGTGTTGTTTGTTCTTTGTGTTTCTTGATGTTTTGTGGTTAAAGTTGTTTCACGCCAGCTTGCGGAGGTTTTTAACGCATTGGCAAGGTTTTGAGGGCTTTTGAGTTTCTTACTTTAGGTTCTGTCTAGTGATTGCAGGTTGCTTAGGGTTGCTTAAGGGATTGTAAAGCATGTCTTCGCAGTTTAGGGTTTAGGGTTTAGGGTTTAGGGTTTAGGGCATACATGGTGAGCAAGGCTTTGTGGGGGATTGGGGCTTCAGGAGGTTTAGTTGTTTTTGGGGATGTCGATTCTGCTTTTTTGGGGCCTAGCAGGTTCAGGGGCTTCATTGACTGCATTTTGGGATGATCCCCCCCAAGATGAACAGTCCTTAGTAGGGATTTTTGTACCCCCCAGAATAATCCCCATTCAGGATGGCTAGTATGACGGGGAACATCCCAGATTGCATTGAACAACTTGCAGAGGCCGCAGAGAAAAGCCCTAAACCCTAAACCCTAAACCCCAAACCCTAAGCCCTAAACCGTAAACCCTAAACCCTAAACCCTAGACCCTAGACCCTAAACCCTAAACCCTAAACCCTAAACCCTAAACCCTAAACCCTAAACCCTAAACCCCCCTTGAACCCCCCTCCCTTACGGACCCTATAAGAGAAGCGTACGGGGGCAATCCGCAGTGAAACAAAGCACCCAGAGCCGCAGGTCCCAGTCATCCGTGGCAGCGCCGGTCTGAGGCGCCTTTCTCCCGCGCGTGAGTCTTAGGTCTGGGGTTTGGGTTTTGGGTTTAGGGTTTAGGGTTTAGGGTTTAGGGTTTAGGGTTTAGGGTTTAGGGTTTAGGGTTCAGGGTCTAGGGTCTAGGGTTTAGGGCTTAGGGCTTAGGGTTTGGGGTTTGGGGTTTGGGGTTTCGGGTCTGTCGAGAGTGCCCAAAGTCATAGGTCCACGCTTGCTCAAGCGCTGGCGCCGCAATGCCGTTTCCACTCCGCACCCAAGCGGCCCCGAAACCCTAAACCGCTAAACCCTAAACCCTAAACCCTAAACCCTAAACCCTAAACCCTAAACCCTAAACCCTAAACCCTAAACCCTAAACCCTAAACCCATGAACCGCAAGAGCCCGCCCGAACCCCGGCAGCATGAAGGACTCAGCCTGTCGAGCGAAGCCGCAGCCCGCCACGGATGAGGCGCCCGACTCCTGGTTTAGAGTTTAGGGTTTAGGGTTTAGGGTTTAGGGTTTAGGGGTTTAGGGTTTAGGGTTTAGGGGTGTAGGGGTGTAGGGTCTGAAGCCGTTGGATCCTACACCCTAAACTCATAAGCCCAGAGGGCCAGTTCTCAAAAGTGGGGTCCTTTTTTGGGGTATCCTAAATATTCGGGTCCCGCCTTGGAATAGTGACCCCAGAAGGGACCAGAATTTAGAGAAGTGACCAGATGGGAGCCCACCAACTCTTTGCCCACTTTGCTTGCCCCCCACCCGGCCCCCACCCCCAAAGCCCGAAGCCGGAAGGCTTCTTTGGGATAAGGTGCCCCAAAAGTTTAGCTGCATGCTTCGCCCTGAACTTTACATAAACCCTAAACACCACACCCTAAACCCTGAACCTCCCTAGCCCCTAAGCACGAAGCCTATCCGAGGCCCCTAAAGCTTTCGGAGATGTCACCTGCAGGGTGCTGGCATGCTATTGCATTAGAACGGTTTAGGGTTTTGGGTTTAGGGTTTAGGGTTTAGGGGTACTTGAGTCTCGCTTGTGCGTTACTCGGAGTGGCCGTATTGGAAAGTTTTGGGTTTTGGGTTTAGAGTCCCATGGTATAACCCCCAAACCCTAGCCTAACATTGTGGCCTTTGTGAGCGTGGCTGGACATTGTAAGGCTGACCCGCGCGGCCCGTATGGTATTCCGGACTCTCTTTGACTTGTCTCCCTCGCCGGACACACTTCCCGGAAGCTTTTGTGCCCTCCCAAAACCTCCAACAACACCAAAAGTCCCGCCAAGAAGCCCAAACCGCACGAAATCCACCCAAACCACAACAAAATCTAGACCTTAAAGCCCTAAACCCTAAGGCCGAAAACCCTAAACCCTATACCTCCCCAAGGCCCACCAGAATCCTCTCCAGACACCCACCCGAAGCAGGCCGAGCGTGGCCAGCCAGGCCCATACCCCCTATCAGCCAAGACTGGGAGAGGCCCGGCCGTTTGCTGAGGGTTTAGGGTTCAGGGGTTGGGGTTCAGGGTTTGGGTGTGCGGTAGTGGCCTTGTCAGATTGTTGGTTTCTTGTTGCGCTGTCGTAAAATGCTTGGGGGTTGGGTGTTGGGGTTTAGGGTTTAGGGTTTCGGGCGGTCTCAGGGGCTGGGGATTGAAGTGTCGAATGTTGGGTGTGGGATTTCAGGCATCTTTGTTTTGCTGGGTTTGGGGATTGAGGGATTGTTTCTTTGGGTTCGGGTGTGACAAGACCCTAAACCCTAAATCCTAAACCCTAAGCCCTAAACCCTAAACCTTAGGCCTCGCGGCTTCCCAATCCTGGAGCAGATGCCTGCATGAAGGGGGCCCATTTGTGTTCGGGCGTCCTTGTTCGATTTTATTCTGTTCTGTGCTGCTCTGTTCTATCCTCTTAGGGTTTAGGGTTTAGGGTTTAGGGTTTAGGGTGCCCCCCATGTTTCAGATCACCTCCGGCCCCCGGCCCTCGTTGCTTCTTGAAGCGGTCGCTCCTTCATGCTGCTGCGGGCCCTAGACCATAAATCTTACACCCTAAACCCTGAACACAAAGCCCTAAACCCTGAACCCTAAACCCTAAACCCTAAACCCTAAACCCTAAACCCCAAGCCCTAAACCCTAAACCCGGAGCTTTAGAAACTCTAAACGCCCCTCTTCGTGGGAGGCGGGCTCCTGGATGACGCAGCGCGGCGCCAGCTTGGATGAGGTGCGGGGGAGTTGGGTACGCGAGCTATGAAATCCGAAACCCTAAGCCCACGAAGGTACAGGGAAGATATGTGGGTATATACACATACACATACATATACACATTGCGCAAATGCAAGGATAAATCTACATAACTAAACAAAAAGACAAAATATTTTTATAGAAAGAAAAACCGATATCAACAAAACATAGCAGAATGTAAGCTTATGTGCAGCCCTCAGTACCTGAACATCATCAAGCATATTGTGTTAGCCTGCCTAATCCCTGAACCCTAAACCCTAAACCCTACTCTAAGCCCTAAACCCTAAAACCTAAACCCTAAACCCCAAACCCGAAACCTTAAACCCTTTACCCTAAACCCTAAGTTCAAACCCTCAACCCTAAACCCTAAATCCTAAACCCTAAACCCCAAACCCTAAACCCTAAACCCTAAACCCTAAGCCCTAAGCCCTAAGCCCTAAACCTAAACCCTAAACCCTAAACCCTAGACCCTAGACCCTAGACCCTAGACCCTAAATCCTAAGCCTCAAACCCGAAGGTCGAGAGCTTCATCTCGAGACACGGCCTCGACCTCTCTGCTGCAGAGACACTGCGAGCCGGGGCTCCTGGTGTGTTTAGGGTTTAGGGTTTGAGGTTTGGGGTTTAGGGTTTAGGGTTTGGGGTTTAGGTTAGGGTTTAAGTGCTTGGGGGTGTTGCGGTTTCAGTGCTTAGGACACCACTCCCCCCTGCCAGTCTCAGATTTTTGAAGCAGCGAGTCTACATGACATGACTGCCCTGTCAGCCTCAAAACTAGCTACATGCTGTGCTTGGACCATGTGTAGGGAGAGGTATGAGTAGCTCAATAAGCAAACGTCTGACGCAGCCTTCTTGGTGCCCACTATCGTTTAGCCACTTATGACTCTTCCCCATCTGCCGCAGGCCCTGCCCCCAGAGGAACAGGAGACCATCGCCGCTTCCCCAGCTTTATTGTGCTGCTCTCACGTTCGAAGGGGGTTTGGGCTGGGGCTTCTTGAACGCACATCGGAAGAACCTGAAGCTGTCTCATGGCAACTAATCACCAGTGGCTGGCCAGTTTCGGGACATTGCGCTGGACATAAATCTCAGGGTTTTGTTTTTATATTTTTCTTAACTGTATTTTATTTTTCTTTTTCATATTTATTGTATCATGTTTCATTTTTGAATTTCATTTTTTTGTCGGGTTTTCATCTTTTACCGGTGGGATTCTTAACAAAAAGGATCCCACAGCAAGAGGCATCCACGGCTGCCAAGGTCACAACGGACCTGACCAACGCACGGAACCCCTCTGCGGTGGTGCTCTCGCGCATCGAGAGAATTCACAAAGAGGAGGCCACGGTGGGCTTGGCTGCAGGTTGGGATGTTCCCCCTTATACTAGCAGTCCTTAATGGGGATTATGGTAGGGGGTACGATAATCCCCATGAAGGACTGTTGGTATAAGGGGGCCAAGCTTCATGTTGCACAGGGGGGTGGTAGGGTTTAGGGCCCAGGAATAGGTGACTTGTTAAATGTTGGAGTTAGAGCTTCACAATGGCAGGGCCACCGGCAGCAAGTGGAGGAATACCTGCGCCTTGGCTCCACTGTGGTGCACGACGTCGCTCCAAAACTTGCCCCAACGACTCCAGTAGCTAACTGACAGGGTATCAGCAGCCAGTCATATAAACCCTCAGCTACCCTAAGCCCTAACCCCTAAACCCTAAACCCTAAGCCCTAAGCCCTAAGCCCTAAGCCCTAAACCCTAAACCCTAAACCCTGTCCCCAACGTGGACCCCTGAGCCCTAAACGGTTACACAATGCGCACACTTGCCTCGCCCAAAGGCATCGGTACAACGTCGACGAGGCCGGCTCCTTCGGGGCTTCTGAGTCGGGAACGGGCTTCGGGTTTTAGGGTTCTTAGGGTTTTCAGGGTTTTGGGGGTTTAGGGTTTTAGAGATTCAGGTCTTTCGGCTTTTAGAGATTTAGGGCTTTAGGGTTTTAGGGTTTCAGGGTTTCAGAGATTTAGGGTCTTTGGGTTTTCGGGTTTGAGTTCTTATGAGTCCCTAAACCCTAAACACCAAACCCCAAGCCCCAAGCCCCAAAGCCCAAAACCTAAACCTTAAACCCTAAACCTTAAACCCTAAACCCTAAACCCTAAACCCTAAACCCTAAACCCTAAACCCTAAACCCTAAACCCTAAACCCTAAACCCCAAACAGCCCTCAAGCCCTTGAAGCCTCCAGGAAGCCTCGGCCATGCTCCGAGCCTTACCTGTGGATCGCCAGCAGGTGGGGTTTGGGGTTGGGGTTTGGGGGTTTAGGGCTTTGGGGTTTGGGTTTGGGGTTTAGGGTTTGGGTTTAAGGGTTTGGGGTTTAGGGTTTTAGGGTTTTGGGTTGGGGTTTTGGGTTTGGACCTCAAGTCGTCAGGGTATAGGTTGCCCTGGAAGAAGAAACAAACCCTAAACCCTAAAACGATCGTGCAATCGGCAGGTCATCATCGCCAGCGAGATGACCAACGCGAACAACAGCTCCTCGGAGTCTGTTCTTTACCCTAAACCCCAAACCCCAAACCCCAAACCCCAAACCCCAAACCACAAACCCCAAACCCCAAACCCCAAACCCCAAACCCCAAACCCAAACCCCTAAACCCTAAACCCTAAACCTAAACCCTAAACCCTAAACCCTAAACCCTAAACCCTAAACTAAACCCTAAACCCTAAACCCTAAACCCTAAACCCTAAACCCTAAACCCTAAACCCTAAACCCTAAACCCTAAACCCTAAACCCTAAACCCTAAACCCTAAACCCTAAACCCTAAACCCTAAACCCTAAACCCTAAACCCTAAACCCTAAACCCTAAACCCTAAACCCTAAACCCTAAACCCTAAACCCTAAACCCTAAACCCCAAGCACGCACCTGCCGAGGCTCGGCGGTGCTCATCTCGCGGATCCGGGGAATCGAGGCCTCCTGTACCCTCACTCCTTCGGTTTTGTGGGGGTTTAGGGTTTAGGGTTTAGGGTTTAGGGTTTAGGGTTTCGATTCAAGGGATTAAGACTCCTACGCCTAAGGTTGTACCCGTAAAGGTTCCCCTCAATACACTCCTAATATGGCCCCTTATACTACCTTAAGGATCTTAAAAAAGGGTCCCAAAAACCCAAGGATACAACCTTAAGGGTCCAAGGTAAAACCCCTAAAGCCCCTAGACATACACTCCGGGATTATATAATATAAGGGGTATATATATATATATATATATGTGGCCGAGACCTTTAGGGTCTATTTCACGGCTGGTTCTTCTTTCAGTAGTAGTGCAATAATAATAATAATAATAATAATAATAATAATTTTAATATTATTATGAGTATAATAATACTGACCGTAATTGTAATAGGAATAATAATAGTACTAGTAATAGTAATAGGAATAGGAATAGTAATAATACTAGAAATAGTATTAGTAGTAGTAACAGTAATAGTGAAGGTTTGGTCTGTGTGTGCACCGGCGCCAGCAAGTGCAGCCATGTAGCTCTAGCACACTTTGAAGTAAGAGATAGACAAGTTGTTTCATAGCCTGAAGAGGGGCGAAGGGCTCTCTCATTTCCGATTACGAGGTAGAGGTGAGCTATCTCATTTCTTAGAAACATAGAGGAGATCTCATTTCCACGACAGAGACATCTTTCACTCAGGAGAGAACGCAAGCTGTTTCATTTCCAAGAGAATAGAGGAGCTCTATCATGTCGCATTAGAAGTGAGAAGCTCTGCACTAAAAGATAGAAGGCATCGATTCGTTTCCCTTTTTCTTTTGCTTATCAAAGGGTCTTTTCATTTCGAACACAGGATTTCTTTCATGCCCTATAAGAAGGATCGAGGAGCTCTTTCATCTGAGAGATAGAAGAACGCATTCATGAAGTATACACGAGCTCATTTCTCGTCAAGAGGCAGAGGCGTGCCCAGCTCTACCATTACCTAACTCTTACCTGAAATTTCTCTATCTCGCAATAGGTCATGAGAGACCTCCTTTTTCACGCTGCAGGAAATGAGAGAGTTCTCTTCTATGTCGATTTTCAGAAATAGCTTCGCAGCTTCTCTATCAATGAAGAGTTTTGAAGGCCACTCTGGGCCATTCTCTGTCCATCAAATGGGACATGACATAACGCATCACTCGCTATCGTTTACGTGATAGAGTTTCGCTATCTCTGAATAGGTCATCTGAAAGCTCCTCTGTATCTTTGCAGCAAGTGAAGGAGCTCCTTGCCTCTTCTGCAAGAGCCCTCCGCTTCCTATTTTGCAATGAGCAAGCTCTTTTATCTCCTCTGGTTCCTAATAGGTCATGAGCGGGCTTCCCTCTCTCCTTCTCTTTTAGGGGATAGAGGAGGTTTTTTCATGTTGCGTTAACAGCTAGAGGACATCATTTATATCCATTCTGTCATTTCGTATGAGAAGATACAGGAGCTCATTCATCTCCTAGTCAGAGATTGAAGAACTCGTTCACAAGAGATATAGATATAAGAAATCTCTCATACAATGTATAAGAGCTCTCTCATGTCCTACCTAGTTCATTTGCCGTCACCAGCGCTCAGCTCTACCATTTCGTATCTTTTATATGACATAGCTTCTCTATCTCGCAATAGGTCATGAGAGACCTCCTCTTTCTTTTGCAGGAAATGAGAGAGGTCTCTATCTACCTTTTGTGAAAGAGCTCCCTTTGTTCAATCACAAGAACTCATTCATAGAAGCTGTAAGAGCTCTCGAATGTACTTTCTTGTTAATTTCCCGTCGATAGGTAGAGGAGCTCACAGCTCTACCACATCCTACCCTTTACATGGAAGAGGCTCCTCTATCTCGTAGCGGGTCAAGAAAGATTGTCTCTATCTCTTTGCAGAACATTAGAGAGTCCTCTACCTACCTCTTGTGAAAGAGCTCCTTCACCTCAAAATCAAATGCCACAACTCGTCTATCTTTCACTGGGACATGAGACAGCTCCATTGTGAATTTCTATTCAGAAATAGCTGCTTCTCTATCGATGAAGAAATCATGCGAGTAGCCGTTTATCGATGCATAAGAAATGACATAGCTCTTCTACCTTTTTGCGACAGATCTCTTCTTTACCCGAAATGAAAGTTTGGAAGGCCATTCTCTATCCCTTGAATGGGGACACAACTCATCAGTCTCTATCGTTTACGTGAGAGAGTTTCGCTATCTCTGAACAGGTCATCTGAAAGCTCCTTTGTGTCTGCGCAGCAAGTGAAGGAGCTGCTTGCCTCTTCTGCAATAGCTCCTCCGCTTCCTATTTTGCAATGAGCAACCTCTTCTATCTCCTTTGGTTCCTATTTCTCGTTTGCCATCACTAGGCAGAGGAGCTCTCAGCTCTACCATGACCTATCTTTTACATGAAAGAGGCTTCTCTATCTCGTAACGGTTCATGGAGTCATGACAGATCTTCTCTATCTCTTTGCAAGAAAAGAGAGAGTGCTCTACCTACCTCGTGTGAAAGAGCTCCTCCACCTTGTGATCGAGAGTGACAGAACTCGTCTATCTTTCAATGGTGCATGAGCCAGGTTTTTTGTTTGTATTTGAGAAAAAGCTTGTCTACCCGTGATATAATAAGAAATGAATAGCTCTTCTACCTTTCTGTGACAGATCTCTCCTTTATTCGAAATGAAAGTCTGGAAGGCCATTCTCTATCCCTGAAATGGGGCATGACATAACTTTTCAATCTCTATCGTTTACGTGATCGAGTTTCGCTATCTCTGAATAGGTCATCTGAAAGCTCCTCTGTATCTTTGCAGCAAGTGAAGGAGCTCCTTGCCTCTTCTGCAAGAGCCCTCCGCTTCCTCTTTTGCAATGAGCAAGCTCTTTATCTCCTCTGTTTCCTAACAGGTCATGAGACAGCTCATTTCCACACTGTCATTTCGTATGCGAAGACACAGGAGCTCATTCATTTTCTATTCAGAGATTGAAGAACTCATTCATAAGAAATGTATGAGAGTTCTCTCATGTCCTATCTAACTGATTTCCCGTCACTAGGCAGAGGAGTCCTCAGCTCTACCATTTCTTATCTTTATATGACATAGCTTCTCTATCTCGCAATAATCAGGTCGTGAGAGACCTCCTCTTTCTTGTACAGGAAATGAGAGAGGTCTCTATCTACCCTTTGTGAAAGAGCTCCCTTTGTTCACTGGCAAGAACTCATTCATGAAAGCTATAAGAGTTCCCGTCGATAGGTAAAGGAGCTCACAGCTCTTCTATATCTTACCCTTTACATGAAAGAGGCTCTCTATCTCGTAGCGGGTCATGAAAGATCGTCTCTATCTCTTTGCCGGACATGAGAGAGTCCTCTACCTACCTCTTGTGAAAGAGCTCCCCCACCTCGTAACGTACAAAGACAGAACTCGTCTATCTTTCAATGGGACATGATCCGTCTCTTTGGTTTTGGTTGAGAAAAGCTTCTCTATCCATGAAGCAAACATGAGAGAAGCCGATTGTCTCTAGGCTGCTTATCGCTTCGTAGGAAATGACATAGCTCTTTTACCTTTTTGCGAGAGATCAACCCTAATTGAAGGTTTCGAAGGCCTATCCCTGAAATGGAGCGTCGCATAACTCATCAGTCTCTCTCGCTTACGTGAGACAGCATTTATTCTATTTCGTAACAGGTCATCTAAACGCTCTTCTATGCGTTTGTAGAAGTAAAAGAGCTCCTTGCCTCTTGTGCAAAAGCTCCTCCGCATCCTAAAGAGCAATGAGCAAGCTCTTCTATCTCCTCTCTCTTGAATAGGTCATGAGAGGGCTCCCCTCCCTCTGGTTGAGGGAATGACAGAGCTCCTCCGCCCCTTACGAAAGAGCCTTTCTCCTGCTTGAAAAGCTGCGGGCGGGTGCTCTGGCGCCTCGTAGGTTTGGGAGGGCTCCTTTTCACATCTTTATCTTTCCGACTCCGAGATATAGGAGCTCATTTTTTCGAAAGTGGTAGCAGAGATCTCTCATTTCCAAGAGATCTTTGTCACTCAGGGAGAAAGCAAGGTTTTGATTTCAAAGAAATGGAGGAGCTCTTTCATGTCCCATTAAGAGTGTGGAGCGCTCTCATTACGCATGAAAAGATTGATGACATGGATTCGTTACCATTCTTTAACTTTTCTCGAAGGGTCTTTTCTTTTCATATGCAGAATCTCTTTCATTTCCTATGAGAAGATAGAGGAGCTCTTTCATCTCAAAGATAGAAGAAGGCATTCATAAACGGTATAAGAGCTCTCCCATGAACTATATCTCATCGTAGGGGGCATAGGAGTCTTAGGGGGCTCAGGATTCGCGTGCAGGGTGTAGGGTTTATAGGGCTACGGGAATTTAATGGAGGGTGTATTTGTGTAGTCTGCCTATTACCGTAACAAACCCGTGACATAACCCAGAGCCATTACTTGCAAGACTGCTTCTTGAAAGCAAGAGCGCTAGTGTCTAACCATTGTACATTCCTACATGAGATACCCCACCACATCTTGAAAACACCTCTTTCTCCAAGGGTTTACTGGGGCATTAAGGAACAAGAACGTGATGGTTTCAGCACCAAAGTAAGGGAATAGCAAAGGGTTTCCAGGGAAAACTTCCCTGATGCAACCGGTCTCTATCTCACAAGAGGTCATGAGAGACCTCCTGTATCACATTGCAGGAATGAGAGAGTTCTCCACCATGTTTGTTTTCCGAAATAGCTTCTCTATCAATGAAGAGTTTTGAAGGTCGCCCTGGGCCATTCTCTGTCCGATAAATGAGACATGACATAACTCATTAGTCTCTATTAAGAGAGTCTCTATCACAACTATATGAAAAATCCTTCCTACATCTTGAAGGCGTCCCTTTCTTTAAGGGATGAATGGGGAAATTAAGGGAAAGAAAGGGTGATGGTTTCAGCACGAAAGTAAGGGAATAGAAAAGGGAACGCGATAAAGATGCACGAAGGCTTAAAGAGGCCCAGAAAATCAAGAAATTAACGAGGATGGTTAATTGCTTGAATTTCTCTAATTTCTCACAGAGAGGCTTAGCATTTAAAAAGCCAGAGAAATTAATTAATTTCATTACTTTCTTTAATTTCTTTTAGTTAGTCTCGCAACCCCACGCGGCTACCGGATGTTTTTTGTTAATTTCTTTAATTTCTCACAGAGAGGCCTAGAAAATAAAGAAATTACAAAAATTAATTACCCGGCTCACGGGATTAGTTTAAATAAAAGAAATTAATGAAATTGATCAAATTAAAGAAATTGATTAATATATTTAGTTTCTTTGATTTCTCACAGATAGGCTCTGAAAGTAGAGAAACTACAGAAATTAATTTCATTAATTTCTCACAGAGAGGCCCAGAAATTAAAGAAATTAATGAAATTAATTAATTTCTTTAATTTCTTTAATTTCTTTAATTTCTCACATAGAGGCCCAGAAATTCGAGAAATTAAAGAAATTAATTCATTTCATTAATTTCTTTAATTTCTCTAATTTCTTTAATTTCTTTAATTTCTTTTAACTAGTCTCGCAAGCCCGAAGGGCTACCGGAATTTATTTCTTTAATTTCTTTAATTTCGCACAGAGAGGCCCATAAACTAAAGAAATTAAAGAAATTAAAGAAATTAATTGGGGGAGCCCCCCCGGCTCACGGGACTAATTTAAATAAATTAAAGAAATTAATGAAATTAATGAAATTAAAGAAATTAATTAATTTCTTTAATTTCTTTAATTTCGCACAGAGAGGCCCAGAAATTAAAGAAATTAATGAAATTAATTGGGGTAGCCCCCCCGGCTCACGGGACTAATTAAAATAAATTAAAGAAATTAATGAAATTAATGAAATTAAAGAAATTAATTAATTTCTTGAATTTCTTTAATTTCTTTAATTTCTCACAGAGAGGCCCAGAAATTCAAGAAATTCAAGAAATTAATTAATTTCATTAATTTCTTTAATTTCATTAATTTCTTTTAATTAGTCTCGCAAGCCCGAAGGGCTACCGGAATTAATTTCTTTAATTTCTTTAATTTCTCACAGAGAGGCCCAGAAATTAAAGAAATTAAAGAAATTAAAGAAATTAATTGGGGGCCCCCCCCCGGCTCACGGGACTAATTAAAATAAATTAAAGAAATTAATGAAATTAATGAAATTACAGAAATTAATTAATTTCTTTAATTTCTTTAATTTCAGAAATTAAAGAAATTAATGCACAGAGAGGCCCAGAAATTAAAGAAATTAATGAAATTAATTAATTTCTTTAATTTCTTTAATTTCTCACAGAGAGGCCCAGAAATTAAAGAAATTAAAGAAATTAATTAATTTCATTAATTTCTTCAATTTCTTTGATTTCTTTAATTTCTTTTAATTAGTCTCGCAAGCCCGAAGGGCTACCGGAATTAATTTCTTTAATTTCTTTAATTTCTCACAGAGAGGCACAGAAATTAAAGAAATTAAAGAAATTAATTAGGGTAGCCCCCCCGGCTCACGGGACTAATTAAAATAAATTAAAGAAATTAATGAAATTAATGAAATTAAAGAAATTAATTAATTTCTTTAATTTCGCACAGAGAGGCCCAGAAATTAAAGAAATTAATGAAATTAATTAATTTCTTTAATTTCTTTAATTTCTCACAGAGAGGCCCAGAAATTAAAGAAATTAAAGAAATTAATTAATTTCATTAATTTCTTTAATTTCTTTAATTTCTTTAATTTCTTTTAATTAGTCTCGCAAGCCCGAAGGGCTACCGGAATTAATTTCTTTAATTTCTTTAATTTCTCACAGAGAGGCCCAGAAATTAAAGAAATTAAAGAAATTAATTGGGGTAGCCCCCCCGGCTCACGGGACTAATTAAAATAAATTAAAGAAATTAAATGAAATTAAAGAAATTAATTAATTTCTTTAATTTCTTTAATTTCGCACAGAGAGGCCCAGAAATTAAAGAAATTAATGAAATTAATTAATTTCTTTAATTTCTTTAATTTCTCACAGGGAGGCCCAGAAATTAAAGAAATTAATGAAATTAATTAATTTCTTTAATTTCTTTATTTTCTCACAGAGAGGCCCAGAAATTAAAGAAATTAAAGAAATTAATTAATTTCATTAATTTCTTTAATTTCTTTAATTTCATTAATTTCTTTTAATTAGTCTCGCAAGCCCGAAGGGCTACCGGAATTAATTTCTTTAATTTCTTTAATTTCTCACAGAGAGGCCCAGAAATTAAAGAAATTAAAGAAATTAATTGGGGGAGCCCCCCCGGCTCACGGGACTAATTAAAATAAATTAATGAAATTAATGAAATTAAAGAAATTAATTAATTTCATTAATTTCTTTAATTTCGCACAGAGAGGCCCAGAAATTAAAGAAATTAATGAAATTAATTAATTTCTTTAATTTCATTTATTTCCCTAAGAGAGCCCCAGAAATTAAAGAAATTAAAGAAATTAATAGGTAAATAAATTAAATTCCTCATACAAGTGATATACGTGAAATGGACCCAAAAGGTCCCTCTCACATATATATATATATGTACATATATATATATAGGAGTCATATATGGGAAGAAGAATAAGAGTCTCTTCTAGGGGGGTCCCTCTTAAAACTCCTTGACTCGGTTGCCAAGGCCATGCACATCCCGGCCGGGCAGCCGCCTCCGCCTTCGTCAAACTGGCGGCCCACGCGTGCGTGCTGACCTTGGGCGGGGGTTAAACCCTAAACCCTAAACCCTAAACACTCCAAACCCCAAGAGGGTTTAGAAATGACCTCTTGTTTTGGGGCCATAGGTTTCCAGGCTCAATGTCACGACACTCCTCAACCCTGAGGGCGCCAACGCTGCGACAGAGCTGCAGAGGCTAAACATAAAGACGGCTGATATTCTTGTAAGCAAGAAGCTGCAGCCACAATCATATGGGGGTTTACGATACTCGGGGTACCTTTGGGGGAGTCCTTAGTGGAAGGGGAGCCTGCTTTTTTGGGTCTATATTAGCGGTCTGTTATTATCGTAAGCCCCATATGTACGTATGTAGATATACACTGTAAAACCTAAGATGTTAGTAATGATATCCCATTACATGTACAGCTATGATTCCTTATTCTTTCTATACCCTCTTGCTGAGTAGACCCAAACCCTAAACCCTAAACCCTAAACCCTAAACCCTAAACCCTAAACCCTAAACCCTAAACCCTAAACCCTAAACCCTAAACCCTAAACCCTGAACCCTGAACCCTGAACCCTGAACCCTGAACCCTGAACCCTGAACCCTGAACCCTGAACCCTGAACCCTGAACCCTGAACCCTGAACCCTGAACCCTGAACCCCAAGCCCTAAACCCTAAAACCTAATCCCGACACCCCAGAAGGGCACAGTGTTCCCAGGTCCAGGGCATCAGCGCCGGCCCCTCCACCGAACCCGGCCGAGGAGCTGCGCCTTGCGGTTTAGGGTTTAGGGTTTGGGGTTTGGGGTTTAGGGTTCAGGGTTTATAGAAATTTGAAAAGGCTTTGGGTCCCAACAACGGTTAGACCGAACGTTTTGACCGAAGCGTGTTGACCGAAAGCTATTGTTGTCAAGCTAAAATTCACGGTTTTTGAGGGTGGGGGCGCATGGACCCAAAAGTTTTGACCGACAGTTTTGCCCGAAAGTGTTCTGGGGGGTGGGGGTCTGCGGGGGTTTGGGTGACTTGAAGTGAATTGAGTAGGCGGCTTGGCAGAAGTGATTTGAACTAAATAATTTCACTAGGTTCGTTAGCTGTTAAGACAAATAGCATGGGAAATTCAGAATGATATGGCATACAATTTCTGTTTATTTTGTCGTGAGGGTTTAGGGCTTAGGGTTTAGGGTTTCAGGGTTTTAGGGTTTAGGGTTTAGGGTTTAGGGTGTAGAGGTGTAGAGGTGGGCATTGATGGGGCTCAGGGTTCTCTGTCAGGGTGCTTTTTGGGTTCATAGGGTTTGGGGTTTACAGGGTTTAGGGTGATTGCCTCAGGTTGTTGGGAACAAACGGCTATAAGAAGAGGATGTGCGGCAACGGAAGTTTCTGCTACGTCAGGCAAGCTTACCTACAGGCCAGCTCCGAAATCCCTCCCTGAAGCTGAGGACGAGTTAAAGAAGAACTTGAAGAGGCACTTCTCAACCCTAAACCCCAAACCCCAAACCCCAAACCCTAAACCCTGAACCCTAAACCCTAAACCCTAAACCCTAAACCCTAAACCCTAAACCCTAAACCCTGAACCCTAAACCCTAAAACCTAAACCCTAAACCCTAAACCTTGAACCTTAAGTCCGAGACGCTGAGGACTTCATCCGCCGCTGGGACCTCGACGATTCCGTCGCGTCGCAGCTCCGGGCGCTGAACCGGGCGCAGCTCAGCGAGGTGCCCACACAAGGACGCAGCTAACTTTCCTGTGCCCGAACCACATGCCAACTGCGGGGGGGGGGGGTGTTTAGGGTTTAGGGTTTAGGGTTTCGGGTTTAGGGTTTAGGGTTTAGGGTGTATCGGTGTATACGAGCTCTGGCACGAGGTACGGGACATTCACACAACCATGGGCCTTTCGCGCAGGAACCTGCTCAATTAAGTTAAGAAGGGCCCCCAGATTTTGTCGAGTTTCCGGAATTTACGGGCAAGGGCGTGCCTGTGCAGACAAAACTTCGCATCCAATTGTCCATGCTGTTGTGTCCGTAGTGTTGCTACCTTCCCCTTCCGAGCCAGCCAATTCAAGTACTCGACCTTACGCCCTAAACCTGTAAAAGGGCGACCCCTAAACCCTAAACCCTGGACCCTAAACCCTAGACCCTAAACCCTAAACCCCAAACCCTAAACCCTAAACCCCCAAACCCTATACCCCAAACCCTAAACCCTAAGCCCTAAACCCTAAAACTTCCACACCGGCAGGTGATGACATGCAACATCGCGCAGGCGCGGAACCCGTCCGCCATGGTCAAGTCCAGGACCTGCGCGGAAACGGGGTTCAGGGTTTAGGGTTTAGGGTTTAGGGTTTAGGGTTTAGGGTTTCGGGTTTAGGGTTTAAGGTTTAGGGTTCGGCTTCTGGGAGGGTTAGTTTGAGGGGCCCTAGGGCTCATAGCTCTGCAGGTGTAGGGTTTAGAGCCCTCAAGCACCCCAAACCCCAAACCCTAAACCCTAAACCCTAAACCCTAAGCCCTAAACCCTAAACCCTAAACCCTAAACCCTAAACCCTAAACCCTAAACCCTTAACCCTTAACCCTTAACCCTTAACCCTAAACCCCAAACCCTGAACCCTTAAACCCTAAACCCCAACCCTAAACCCTAAACCCTAAACCCTAAACCCTTAACCCCAAACCCTAAACCCTAAACCCCAAACCCTAAACCCTAAACCCTTAAACCCTAAACCCTAAACCCGAAACCCGAAACCCTAAACAGGATACGCTCTGTCCTGGCTCGGTGGCCGGCTCAGACCGCAGAGCGGTAGCGCAGCGCGTTTGGGAGTTTTTGGGCGGGGCATGTGGACACCCCTAAACCCTAAACCCTAAACCCTAAAACCTAAAGCCGAAACCCTCTACCAGAAACCCTAAACCTTTAACCCTAACAGGCCCTAAACATCCTAAACCGAAGATCTGGCCGAGGCCCTCACAAGCAGAGTTCTCGGCGCACCAGCAGACCGTGGAGGAACTCCTCCACGAACCCAGAATATTTGTTTACTAACATTGTTCTTCTTCTTCTTCGTATTCTTTATTCTTTATTCTTTATTCTTTATTCTTTATTCTTTATTCTTTATTCTTTATTCTTTATTCTTTATTCTTTATTCTTTATTCTTTATTCTTTATTCTTTATTCTTTATTCTTTATTCTTTATTCTTTATTCTTTATTCTTTATTCTTTATTCTTATTCTTATTGTTATTCTTGTTCTTATTCTTATTCTTATTCGTATTCTCATGCTTATTCTTATTATTATGATTATTATTATGATGATGATTATTATTCTATATATATATATATATACTATTAACTTTCTTGTTGGGGGGGAGGGGGTTAGGGGGTTTAGGGTTGGGATGTTGGGATTATAATCGGGGGGTGGCATAATCCCTATGGGGGGGGGGGGGGGAAATGGGTTTTGTTGTTTGTTTTGCGGATTCCCAGGCTGAGGATTGTCGCATTTTGGGGGTACATAAGCGGTACCTTTTTCGGAAATCTCCATATCCTAAGCTACAGGAGTCTACTGTAACAGAGTAGCAGAGACCCAACCCAAACAGGGCGCATGATCTTCATTCTATTTTGGACCTTGTGCTTCGTTTTTTTGTTTTCAATAAGCGGGTCAAAGGGCAAGAAAGTTTCGCGCTCATTCAACTCCACCACTGGCTCGGCACTGGCTGTGAGGAGTACCTGGCCCGGTACAATGTGGACGAGGCTCGTCTTTGGCGTTTGGGCTGGAAGGCGATGAAGTTTAGGGTTTAGAGTTCAGGGTTTAGGGTTTAGGGTTTGGTCATTTTGGTTGAGGGTGGAGGCATGGGGCATGGGGTGAATTCGAGCTTGTCGTGCCTGCCGCTGCCGCTTACACAGCAGATCCGAAACCTGATCTCCCAACCCTCAAACCCTCGACCAGCAGCCCTCGACACTCTCAACCAATGAGCCCTACAGAGCTTACGGGCCATATACCCTCATAGGGATCATCTACCCTAGTCGGGATCATAGTAGTATAGGTTCATATACCCTAGTAGGGATCATAGTAGTATACCTTCATATACCCTAGTAGGGCCCAGGGTAGTGTAGGTTCATATACCCTAGAGTACAGCAGCTCTCCAAACTCCCCCACCACAAACCCCCCCCTCCAGCCCCCAGGCGGCGCAGGCGGAGATGCGATCGGCGGCGCCTGAGGTGCAGTTGCGGGTCATGGAGCAGGCGCTTCCTTCAGGTTTAGGGGTTTAGGGCTGAGGGCTGGGTGTTGTGTTTTAGCTAAGTTTTTCAAGGGGGTAGGTTTTGCGGGGGTTTTGTGGGGGTCAGCTTTGGACTGTAGGGAGTATACAAGGTCTATGGGGTTACCAGGGGGTGTTGAGAGGTTTTTTGTGCGCTTTATGGGTCCTTAGAGGCCTTACAGGGCTTTCTATGGGCTTGATTATCGGGCTTATTTGCCTTCTCTTGGGTTTAGCAGGTGTTTGTCGGTCGTAAAGGGCATTTTTCGGTGTTTGCATGCTACAATCGGTTGTAGCCGGCGTTGCCAGTGACTTTATGCTTTCACAAGGGGCCTTTTTCAAACCCCTATAAGCCCCACAAACCCTGTAAACCCAAAACCCCTTCATCCCCTTCTGCATGGAAGCCCTGGCAGGAGCTGAGCAACTGCAGAAATCCCTCCGCCGTCCTCTCTTCGAGGATTCGGGAGATCTCTCGTGGGAGCAGGCGCGTCGGAGGCTTTAGCCACGGCTTGCACGAAGCACGGTTTCCTCAACCAGGAGTCCCTCTGCAAATGCCCCAAAAGTACTGCCATGATAGGAGCTGCCAACAGGGCACCGCTGAGTTTGGATATTTGTGGTGTGAGGGTTGACAGTGAGCTAAGGGCCCCCATTCCAGCTGAAAGCCTGACAGTGAGCCCTTCTCTGCTATACTTTCAGAACTTCTGGGGTCTCTCCCTAGCGCCCGAAACCCTGCAGCCTGGCCTAAACTGTCTGCACAGGTGATTCTGGGGGCCGCCCTTCTCAGCGTTCGATCCTATAGCAGCGGTTTCACATCGACTCCTTGGGTGTGGCGCCGAAGCACCTTTATCACGGAAATGGCGTGCTGCTGCTGAGATCCAGGGAGGGTCAAGTCTTACTGCTGCACACGAAACTTATACAGTATACCGCTGTGCAGACCTTCTGATGAGACAGTCGAGTTGCAACATCCACTGCAAGACATGCAGGAGCCTAACCGTACGCGTCCATGTACCTAGTTATTGTACACATGGGCCCCAAAGTCCCTATGTAGCAAGTAGGTAGTTTAAGGCTATTTCGGTACATGGGCCCTTCGGGTAAGCAATTACCAATACGATCCCCTTAGAATCCCTTCGCGAAGATGCTCCGGGCCTTAAGCTCCCTGCATTGTGTCAACGACTCAAGATACCGCCGATATAAGCCCTAAGCCCTATAAGCCCTATAAGCCCCAAGCCCTAAGCCCTAAGCCCCAAGCCCTAAGCCCTAAGCCCCAAGCCCTAAGCCCTAAACCCTAAGCCCTAAGCGCTAAATCCTAAACCCTAAACCCTAAACCCTAAACAACCCTCAACCAACCATCCTGAACCCTAGGACCCCCCCCCCTCACCCGCTCTCGGGCAGGTGCTGTGCCTTTGCTGGTCCTGTGCTTCCAAGAGCCTGAATTGACTCTGAAGCGAATCTCTGCGTCCGGTAGCCCGGGTTTAGGGTTTAGGGTTTCGGGTTTCGGGTTTAGGGTTTAGGGTTTAGGGGGCCTTGCAGCTTCCTTGGGGAGGTTTCCGGGGTCAGGGCGTTTAAGGGTTTTTGGGGTCTGGGGATGTTGGGGTTTGAGGGTTTAGGGTTTTGGGGATTTAGGGGTGTATGGTTTTGGGGGTTTTGGGGTGTATGGGTGTGGGGGTTTAGCAATATGGCCTCTCATAGTGGAGTGCAGCTGATACAGTGCCCAGTCCCTTGTAGACGACCACAAGTGGTTCTAGCTTGTTACAATTTTGTACACGGGAATTTCTTTGATAACGAGCCGCACGGGCATTGCGTTGTGGAGGACTCCCCTTCTAAGCTCTGGACGAGGTCTGCCCTGAGCGACATCTGCAAGCACTCTCCGGAGCTGGCACAGACCGTCGTGGACGCAGGCCTGCTGAGGGTGCAGAGGTGTGCAGCAGCACATGCAGCTAGTGGATGCAGATGCCATACTCCTCATAAACTAAGATAAAACAAGAAGCTTATGTCCTGGGTCCAATGATGTAGGGTTAGAAAGGAGTAAAGCGGCTGCCGAAGCTCATCATGTGCCCGAGTGCAGCCAAACATTCAACGGCGCTCCGTGTCACGCTTCAGGCGCCGTCTCGCTGCTGGCCAAGGACATCTCGCACAACGACGCGCCGCTGAAGCGTCAGGTCCGCCGCTGTGATTGCGAAGCTCAGGTGGCAGAAGTGATAGCTATGGTAGTTGTATTCTGGGAAGATCGCTCCCTCAGGGGCCCTGTCACACGGGACACTCTGTCCCGTAACGGGGTTGGTTCTCTACGCCCGAAGCCCCAAACGCCAAACCCTAAACCCTAAGCCTTGAATTCTGAACCCTAAACCCTAAACCCTAAACCCTAAACCCTAAACCCTAAACCCTAAACCCTAAACCCTAAACCCTAAACCCTAAACCCTAAACCCTAAACCCTAAACCCTCACCCCTAAACCCTAATCCCTAAACCCTAAACCCTAAGCCCTAAACCCAAAACCCTAAACCCTAAGCCCTGAACCCTAAACTTAAACCTAAACCCTAAACCCTAAGCCCTAAACCCTAAACCCTCACCCCTAAACCCTAATCCCTAAACCCTAAACCCTATTCCCTAAATTTAAGAGCCTCCGGCTCAAGCCGCCGACCCCGCTGGAGCATAGTTAAACCCGCTCGCATGGTTCGAAGATCATCCCAGCCTGCTCGGCAGAGTTCTGTGAAACGTTTGGGGGGGGGTAGGGAGTAGCACCAGCCAAAAACACAGGGGGGGGGGAGGTCGGGGGGGGGTGGGGGGGGTTGGGGGTTGGGGGGGGGGGGGGGGCGGGGTGGGGGGGGGGGGGGTGGGGGGGGTGGGTGGGTTGGGGGAAGAGGGGGGGGGGGTGGGGGGGTGGGGGGGGGGGGGGGGGGGGGGGGGGGGTGGGGGGGGGGTGGGGTGGTGGGGCGCCGCTGATTTTGCTAAGGGCGCCCCTACCCCCCTGTGCTGAACCGCCTGTTTACGCTGTGCGGGTGGCGCGGTCCTCCACGAAAAAATTCTGCACCGACCCCCCCCACCCCCCCCGCGTTTTGGGGGGGTAAGGAGGGAAAGAGGGAGGTTTTCACCCTAAACCCTAAACCCTAAACCCTAAACCCTAAACCCTAAACCACGACAGGTGTGCTCATGCTTGGCACAGATTGCCAAGCACTCCGTCGATCTGGCTGAGGCCAGCTGGGCTTAGGCTTTGTAGTGTTGGGTGTTTGTTGTAGAATTTTAGAGTTTAGGGTTTAGAGTTTAGGGTTTAGGGTTTAGGGTTGAGGTGGTCGGGTTTAAGGTTTAGGAGGCTTGTTGGGGTGTTCGAAGGGCAACTTCGGCTGTGGCGTAGAATGAGAAGCCCTAAGCGCTTGGCTGCGAGGTTGTCGTCGAGGCGGAGATCTTCCCGCGCATCTTGCACTGCCTGAAGGATACATACAGCCTTTTTTTTGGGGGGGGGGGGGGGGGGGTTTCAGGGGTTTAGGATTCAGGAGGTTTCTTGGTTTCGAGAATCGGGCTTTCAGGGACTGAGTATGCGGGAAGGTGTGCATGAGGTTGTTTTCGTTGGGCCGTTGAGCTTGAGAGACGAAATATGATAGACAGGACCCCTAAACCCTCAACCCTAAACCCTGAACCCTAAACCCTAAACCCTGTTTTTGGGGCTGTGATGCTGGGTTCCTGCACAGGATATCGACGAGTTCGTGCGGAAGAACGCGGCCACCTGCATCCGCGAGATCGCGCGCATGGGCACTCAGTTGGCTCAGGGTTTAGGGTTTAGGGTTTAGGGTTCAGGGTTTAGGGTTTAGGGTTTAGGGTTTAGGGTTTAGGGTGTGGAGCCTAGGTCTGCCAGGTTTTCTAGAGGGGCCTTAATAATTCGAACAGGGTTTTGGGGGCCATATAGTGCATAAGAACAGGGGCCACAAGGGAATACCATTAGTAACTCCTTGTTGGGAGCCGCGCAAAGCTTCTTCTGTGTGGTTTGCTAAGCTATAAGCCCTAAACTTGGGATGTTCCCCCTTATACTAACAGTCCCTAATATGGGGCTTATAGTACCCCCCCCCGCCTATCAAGGACTGCTAGTCTTAGGGGGAAGATCCCAACCCTAAACCCTAACAGATCTTGTCCATGATCCTGAGCTGGGACTGTTATGTTTTGTGCCTCCTACCTTTCAGTACCAAAAGAATGTGGGGCCTTGGTCCCCCACTTGCAAGAGTTTGGGGAGTTGGGTCCCCCAAAAGATCCCTTCACAGGGTTCTGCACGGCGATATGTAAAGGTGCCTGACTTTCCAAAACCCTAAACTCAAACCCTAAACCCTAAACCCTACATAAACCCTAAACCCTAAACCCTAAACCCTAAACCCTAAAACCTAAACCCTAAACCCTACATAAACCCTGAACCCTAAACCCTAAACCCTAAACCCTAAACCCTAAAACCTAAACCCTAAACCCTAAACCCTAAACCCTAAACCCTAAACCCTACATAAACCCTGAACCCTAAACCCTAAACCCTAAACCCTAAACCCTAAACCCTAAACCCTAAACCCTAAACCCTAAACCCTAAACCCTAAACCCTAAACCCATAAACCCTAAACCCTAAACCCTAAACCCTAAACCCTAAACCCTAAACCCTAAAGCCTAAACCCTAAACCCTAAACCCTAAACCCTAAACCCTAAACCCTAAACCCTAAACCCTAAACCCTAAACCCTAAACCCTAAACCCTAAACCCTAAACCCTAAACCCTAAACCCTAAACCCTAACCTAAACCCTAAACCCTAAACCCTAAACCCTAAACCCTAAACCCTAAACCCTAAACCCTAAACCCTAAACCCTAAACCCTAAACCCTAAACCCTAAACCCTAAACCCTAAACCCTAAACCCTAAACCCCAAACCCTAAACCCAAACCCTAAACCCTAAACCCTAAACCCGAAACCCTAAACCCTAAACCGAAAACTCTAAGCCCTGAACCCTAAACGCTAATTTCCTGTGGAGTCTTTGAACTCGCCTTCTGGGAGGCTCGTGGCAACAACCGCCTGCCTGGCAACTGGGATGTTCTGGAGAGCTTGGAATGCCGATACGACATGCCCCCCCAAACCCTAAACCTAAACCCTAAACCCTAAACCCTAAACCCTAAACCCCAAACCCTAAACCCTAAACCTCCCTCAAAGTATTTATTGCTAGAAGAGCGGGGCTGCTGAGCCGCTTTGCACGTCACGAAGCCAAGGCATCATGACCCTGGGATACATTGCAGCGCTCGGACCCTCAGGGGGAAGCCTATTTTGGGCATCGAGAAGTAGGCTGTGGTAGCAGTCTCTTCCTTATTGCTTGGGGTGCCAAAAGGGGCATGCAATTCCATCATCCCCCTCTCACGCAAAGAAGGAGTTAGTTGGGGTTTTGAGACCGTTGGATGGGAGGCGGGCAAGGCTTCGGATGTGGAGCTGATGGCATCGAGGTTTCGAAGGGTTGCGAGTGGAATGCTGGCAAGGCCACGGCTGCACTACAGGGGCCTTAATGATTAGGACAGGGTTTTGGGGGTTATTGTAGTACAGTGATATAGGAACCATGAGGGAGTTCTATTAGTATCTAGTCCGACCCCTGCACGAACCAGAAGCATACCAAGAAGAGCCCAAAACCTCGAAGACCCGCAACTTAACCCGTAACCTAACCCGAAACCTAAACCTAAACCCTCAACCCTAAACCCCGCAGGAACCTCAAGCCCCTCGGCAAAAAGGTTCTCTGAGACCCTGGCGCTGGCTGTGGTGGTG